TCCTCAGTGCCCCCTCTGTCCTCAGTGCTCCCCCCCTCTCCTCAGTGCTCCCCCCTCTCCTCAGTGCTCCCTCCTCTGGCCCCAGCCCTCCTGCTGATTTGGAGACACCTCACGTAGCCCTGGCTGGCCTGGAGCTCACAGCGGTTCCCCTGCCTCGGCCTCCCGGGGTGCTGTGCTGTCTTGTTTGGAAAGTCACGATGAACTCCCAATTCCACAGGTCTGCTGCACTACCCTCCAGGACCTCCTGCAGCAGGGGACAGGCGGTGCAGGAGGCTGTTGGTCTGGAACATGTCTCCACCTGCCCCAGCCTCTGTGGCTCCAGGCTTCACCTTCCCCCATCCATGGCCAACCCAGGCCCATCACTCCATGGCGCCTTTGATATTCTAGAAGCCATGGGAAGGGACAGGCTGGCCCACCTGAAACACAAGTTGGGGAGTCTGCATCCAGGCAGCCAGGAGTCCAAGCTTCTTCACGCCATGGTGCTCTTGGCTCTGGGCCAGGACACTGAGGCCAGGACCGCTCTGGAGTCCTTGAAGGCGGACACGGCGGCCCGGCTGGTAGCCCACCAGTGGGCAGGTGTGGACAGCACAGAAGACCCTGAGGAGCCTCCAGATTTGTCTTGGACCGTGGCTCGCCTGTACCACCTGCTGGCCGAGGAGAACCTGTGTCCGGCTTCCACAAGGGACATGGCTTACCAGGTGGCCCTCCGCGACCTCGCCTCCCAGGGTGACCACCTGCTGGGCCAACTCCAGAAGGAGGCCTGGGATCGGTGCAGTTCAGACCTCATGGGGGGCTCCCGTGGCTTCCAGCCACTCCACTCTGATCTGGGTGGCCTGCCGCCGTCTTCGGCATCCCCTTCGTTGACCAGGAGCCAGCCTCGACCCATTGATACATCAGACTGGAGCCGGGGCCATTCTCTACACTCCACCGGCAGCATGGCCTCACTGGCCAGCCACTTGGAGATCAGCCAGTCACCCACCCTGCCTTTCCTCTGTCCACAACGTGGGACCCATGGGCCCAGCAAGCTCTGTGGCACACCCCCGGCCTCCCCTGAGCCTCAGCTTGTCCCTGTAGGCTGCCAAGAACCTGAGGAAGTGAGCTGGCCCCCGTCAGTGGAGACCAATGTCCCCTTGGGGTCACCACAGAGAAGTGGGGTCCCAGAGGTGTCCCCGGAGGTGGCTTCGGCCATCCTCCCTGACTCTCCGGCTGCTCCAGACACGAGTGTCCACTGCCCTGTTGAGTGCACGGAGGTATCTGCAGGCTCTCAGTCTCTCCTGCCACCCACCACGGAAGGCACTGGAAAACAGCTGTCTATCACAAGTCAGCTGTCACCTCCCGGGTCTGTAGGAGATGACAGTCTGCAGAACACCACATCCAACCCCCCTGCCCAGCCACCGTCCTCCCAGGTCCCCTCTACACTGCCTCCTTCGTCCTCCTCCCCTCCGTCCTCCAATTCCTCCTCCAGCGGCTGCTCTGCGCCCCCAGCCTCCGCGTCCCCCGTTCTGGGCCACTTGGAAACATCTGAGCAGAAATTCTATAACTTCGTGGTCATCCATGCCAGGGCTGATGAACACGTGGCCCTACGTATCCGAGAGAAGCTGGAGACCCTTGGGGTGCCCGATGGGGCCACCTTCTGTGAGGAATTTCAGGTGCCTGGGCGGGGTGAGCTGCATTGTCTCCAAGATGCCATCGACCACTCGGGGTATACCATTCTGCTCCTGACCACCAACTTCGACTGTCGTCTGAGCCTGCACCAAGTCAACCATGCCCTTATGAACAGCCTCACGCAGTCGGGAAGGCAGGACTCTGTGATCCCCCTCCTCCCACTGGAGTGCTCCCAGGCCCAGCTCAGCCCCAGCGCAACCAGCTTGCTCCACAGCCTTGTGTGGCTGGATGAACACTCCCCGATCTTTGCCAGGAAGGTGGCGAACACCTTCAAACCACAGAAGCTCCAGGCACACCGGATACGCTGGAAGAAAAAGCAGGAGACCAGAGCCCTCCAGGAGCAGAGCATACAGCTAGAGGCTGAGCGGCAAAGGGTGGCTGCCTTGTCGGCTGCCTACTCGGCCTACGTCCAAAGCTGCAGCGCCTGGCAAGCGCAGATGGACAGCCTGCGGGGGGCCTTTGGGAAGGACTTGTCAGTGGGGACCCCTACATTCCCCCATTGGCTGGGATGTCCAGAGCCAACACCTTCACATCCACAGCAGGGTGGTACCCCAGTTTCTTCCTATTTCCCGCAGCCTCCGTCTTTCCCGCAGCCTCCGTCTTTCCCGCCGTCCGCGTCTTTCCCGCAGCCTCCGTCTTTCCCGCAGCCTCCGTCTTTCCCGCAGCCTCCGTCTTTCCCACCGTCCCCGTCTTTCCCGCAGTCTCCACCCTTCCCATCTGCCTCCTCCGCAGCCCCCCAGACTCCAGGATCTCTCATTATTCACCATGCCCAGATGGTTCAGCTGGGCGTCAACAACCACATGTGGGGCCAGACAGGGGCCCAGCCGACGGACGACAAGACTGGGTGTCTGGAGGAACCCTGCATGGGCCCTCCGAGTGACCAGGAGGGACCCCGACTTGAGCCTCCAGAGTGATCATGTTGGGGCCCACCTGGATTCCTAAAGTGACCAGGCTGAACCCAAGCTAGACTGCCAGAGTGGCCACGCTGGACTTCACCTGGGTCCCTAAAGTGACAGTGGGGGAGGGGAACCTCGCCTGGGCCCTCACAGTGGCCGCGAACTGGACCCAGCTTGGTACTCTAGAGGGCGGGAAGACCTCGCCTGTAAACTCAGGGCCTCGGAAACATCCAGAACCCTAGTGAACATTGGACAGGACTCTGTGGAACCGCAACCTGCATCCTCTAGGTGGACAGAAGACGATGGCCATGGGTTTTTCCGGGGTGCTCCCAGCAGCCACGTGTTCATTTACTGTGGCACGTGGTGTCTCTGGGGAGGATGTGGTGCTGGGGCAATAGAGGGGGTCCTGCCACTATAATAGTTATTGACGGCTGAGTCACGAGCCTGCGTCCCCCAGCCAACACCGCCCTCAGGCAACAAGCAGGAGACTCGGCTCCGCCAGGACCGGAAAAGAGCGAGCACCGGCCGCTCGGCTCCCTGAGCAGCAGAAACCGGACGTTGTGAGTGTGTTCTCATTCCATTGGTCAGCGCGGGCCACGTGGCCTTCTGCTGCAAGGGACTTTGGGAAATGTAGTTTTTTGGGGGAAGCCATATCTCAGGAAGTCTTGTAATGTCAGAAAAGAAGAAAAAAAAGACACGGGGAGTTTCTGGCGGTTTTGATTGTTTTTATGCATTTATTTATGTAGTGCATGTGTGTCAGGCATGTGTGGAGGTTAGAGGACAACCTGTTTGAGCCGGTCCTCCTCCTCCATGTGGGTCCCCAGGATAGACACGTCAAACCCACCCTCGTATGTTAAGAAAAGGTTTTTTTGTTGTCTTGTTTTTTTTAAAACAAAACATTTATTTTGGCAGAAATTGCTACAGTGAGGTTATCTTTGGAGTGTGAGCATGTGGTGAGATTCAACCAAGGCTGTGCATCTCCAACCCTCTGCCATTTCATCTCATTTATTGGTTTAATTTTTTTCAGATGTATTATTTTTATTTATGGGTATGCATGTGAGGCTGTGTGAAAATATGTGCACTTTGTAAGAACAGAGTGTGTCAGTTCCCCTGGAGCTGGAGTTACAGGCAGTTGGAGTCCCTTGATGTGGGTGCTGGGAACTGAACCGGGGGATCCTCTGCAAGAGCAGTAAGTGCTCTTTTATTTTTAAAAAATTTTTAATTTACTTATGTATTTTATATATATAGTTGTTTTTATGCATGTTATGTATTTTATGTATATAGTTGTTTTTATGCAGGTATGCATACCAACAGAGGGCCTTGGGTTACAGACAAGTAGTTCTCAACCCGTGGGTCGCGACCCACTGGAAGCTCAACGGTTCTTTCCCAGTGGTTGCCAAAGACCACTGGGAAAGAGATATTTACACTATGATTCATAACAGTAGCAAGATTACAGTTATGAGGCAGTAACGAAAATATTTCTATGGTTGAGGGTTACCACATGAGGAACTGTTAATACATAAGCAGGCGCGATGGTGGTGCACACCTTTAATCCCAGCACTTGGGAGTCAGAGGCAGGTGGATCTCAGTGACAGCATTAGGAAGGTTGGGAACCACTCGTTATATATAGATACGTTGTTGTGGTTGCTGGGAACTGGACTCAGGACCTCTGGACCAGTGCTCCTAACCGTTCAGCCATCACTCCAGTTCCTATGCATTCATTCTCTTATTTTATTTATTTATACTGTTTTCCCCCCATTCTTTTACTTATTTGGGTTTAGTTTTAAACAAGGTCTCTTTACATAGCCCCGGATGAGACAAGGGTTGGTGGCGCATGCATTTAATCCTAGCACTTGGGAGGTAGAGGCAGGCGGCTCTCTGAGTTCAAGGCCAGCCTTGTGGACATATCGAGTTCCAGGACAGCTAGGGCTACACAGAGAAACCCTGTCTCGAAATCCAAAAGAGATTTTAATGTGCCCAGATATCTCAACCCTCCAAACAAGCCTCTGTGAAATGTGGACTCACTTTACAGATGACGAAAACTGAATTCCAGCCCTCAACATCACTCTAGTTAGAATTTAGGGGAGCTTCATGTGAGACACCAGACTTCCAAGGACCAGCAACTGCCGGCTCCTCCCACAGCCAGCTCTTCCGCCGCAGGAGGCATGAGTCACTCCCCTGGCTATTTTAGTCTGAGTCAGACCTAGTCAGGGCTGAAGTGAAACCCCAGCATCATAGTTCTGAGATTCGGGGGTCGGGGTATGTAAATGAAGTCCTCCGATCTATGGTGTATGGGATTGTCCGGTTGCTGGGGTGAGGGTGCCTGGAAAGGTGCTAGGCTCTACACTATGGGGTTCCAGGGTGGGGAAGTGTAAAATGAGGCATCAGTAAAGCAAGCAAGGGGACTGGGAAAGCTGGAAGGGACTTGGAATAAGCAGGGAGTCGACAGCCTGTCCCAGGGTGCATGTGGGCAACACAGCCCAAGCAAAGGCCCTGGGGCAGAACAGAGCCAGCATGTTAGGGGTGTAGTGGGAGGAGGGATGGAGGGGTGCAGGGAGGACAGGGTAGAGAAGGGCAGAGTGCAGCCTGTCAGTTCGTTTCCACGGGGTTTGAGGGGGCAGAAAGACGGCTCAGCTCGTAAAGGTGCCTGTCGGGAGCCTCATGACCTGAGGTCCCTCGCCAGGCCCCACATGGTGGGAGGGGAGAACCGACTCACTCCTGCCAGCCGACCCTCACAGTTGCACATGCGCACACCCGCAATAAATCAAGAAATGTCATCTAATCATCCTGGCACTTGGGAGGCTGAAAAAAGATCAAGAATTGAAGGCCAACCTTGGCTTCTTAAGTTTGAGGCCAGCTGGGCTGTGGAAGACCTTGCCTCAAGTCAGAAAATGTAATTTGTAAAATTATCCTTTTTTAATTTATTTGTGGTGCTAGGCAAGTGCTCTAGCCCTGAGCCACAGCTCCAACCCTACAGGAATTCTTTCCATGAGTCATTTAGTACTTATGCTAGGCACTGGGGCACAGCAAGGCCATGTGTATGCATTTACTCAGCCATTGGACAGACAGACAGCCTCAGGGCTGTAATGGGGCAAGAGCTGGTGGGCGGCTCCATTAAAGGAAGTTTCTGGAAGAAGGAAGTCTGGGGGTCAGGAACCATGGCTGGACATTCTCAGACCTCCAGTCTGATATCCCCTGGTGGCAGCCGCAGCAGGGTGTGTCCCTAACCAGCTGGGAATTCAGAGGGCCAGCTCTGCTCACAGCCCTGACTTTTATTGGGTCGGGGGAGGGGCGGAATGGGTCTCACTCTGTAGCCCTGATTGTCCTATAGACCAAGCTGGCCTCAAACTCACAGAGATCCGCCTGCCCGCTTCCAGGGATGCATGCTGGACTTTTTTTTTTTTAATATATTATGTATACAGTGTTCTGTCTGCACGTATCCCTGCACTCAGAAGAGGGCACCGGATCTCATTACAGATGGTTGTGAGCCACCATGTGGTTGCTGGGAATTGAAACTCAGGGCCTCTGGAAGAGCAGCAGGTGCTCTGAACCGCTGAGCCATCTCTCCAGCCCCGGATGTTCTTCAGGGATTTTTGTTTAACAAATGTTCTCTCCAAGCCAAGAAGAGAGTGTTGTGTTGTGTCTTGCAAGTCACACACCATCTGTGGGACTGGTGTTTTTACATTTCTTTTGTGTGAGCATGTGCGTGGAGGTCAGAGGACAATTTACAGGGGTCAGTCCTCTCCTTCCATTGGGTCCTGGGGCTCAAACTCAGGTGGTGAGGCTTTGGGTGTGTGCCCCACAGGCAGCAGAGGGGTCTCCTCTGTCTGTAGATGGCTAGGGTGAGCCAGGGAGCAGGAACAGACATCTGCTCATCTGCAGCTTGTTCTAGAAGCATCTGGCAACCCCCCTTCCTGGGCCCGGAGCACACTGCTGGGCAGAGTCCAAGGTTATCAGAACCTGGCTCCAACCAGCCTTGTGGTCCTCCTCAGGGAACTGAAAGGAGAAAGCTGTGCCACCTGCTAAGGCCCTCCTGGCTTCTGCCCATACTGGGTAGAACTTTCTGGAAGGTGATGACAGCCCAAGAGGGGCACAGTGGGTTCCCACAGGTTCTGTTCCAGAAGAGACTTAGATGCAGTCCTGGGCGATGCTCATCAACACCCACCTGGCCGGCCGCTGCAGGGACTGCACCCACTGAAGGTCGCTGTGACCTTGTGCAGGTGACACATCCCTCCTCATCCTCTTCTCTCCAGTAGTTGTTCTTCCAGACACTGTCCTCTAAGAGAGGACCTTTGTGACTCTGGATGGAAAGCTCTCCTAGATTCCTCCATTGCTCCCTCTTAACGTCCGCAGGATTTTGCTCAAACCCAAGTTCTCGGGGCTGGAGGGACGGCTCTGTGGTCAGAGCATGGCTGCTCTTGCAGAAGACCTGTGTTCAGTTCTAGGGGATCCAACCCCCTCTCTTCTGGCCCCTGTGGGCACTAGACATGCATGTGGTGTAAAGGCATACATGCAAGCAAAACACCCGTAAGAGGAACTATTAAAAACAAAAAACCCAAGGTTCTTCCTAGGGGCTTTTCCAGCTACTTCATTTAAAAGCCATTGCTCTGGGGCTGAAGAGATGGCTCCGTGGATAAAGTGCTTGCTGTAACAAGAGGACTTGAGTTTGATCCTAGAACATGAATTAGACAACTGGTATGCATCTATGACCCCAGCGCTGGGAGGCAGAGGCAGGAGGATCCCCAGGTTCCCAGCCAGCCTGGCTATACAAACCTGTAGGCTAGGTCAGGGAGATTGGCTCAAAACCAGCCTTGGCCACTAGAGGGCTCAGCCAGCAAAGACACTGTGGTCAAGCCCGCTGACCTTCGCGCCATCCCAGGCAGGAGAGAACCAAGTCCCGAGTTGTCCTCTGACCACACACACACACACACACACACACACACACACACACACACACACACTTACACACACGATTATTTCTGGCACTGGGGATCAAACCCAGGGCGCCAGCACAAGGCGGACAAATGCTGCACTGCTGACATATGCCCCAGCCCCAAACTCACTTCGACCACCATCATTTAACCCAGGCCAGGAGCTCATGCTCGCCACCTAGCGCTTCAAGTTAAAAAATAAAACATGCCAGGCTAGCCTGGGCTACATAGTGAGACTCTATTTCCAAAACAAACAAAAACAAAAACAAAATGCCCTTCTGCCTCACCTAATCTTCATGTTCCCACTACCACGCACAGCTATTTGGGATAAACGACCGTCATTCACAGCCCACACTATCCCATCCTCTGGTACTCAGTAAATGTTTGACTTTCTATTGATGTTCAGCTTGGTCTCGGTCCATCTTGACTTCAGATTCCACGCTGGTCCCTGTTCCCTTCCTGCTGGCTGGTGGGTCTTATTTGTTCTAACCATCCACTTGTGGGACTTTGAAGTGTGAGTTAAGCATGTGTGGTTCCTGCTTCCACCTCTGTGAGGTCTGAGTTCCCTGGCCAGTGGTGAGGATGCTGAGGGGACAGTAGGAACTGGAGGTCATGACTCCACCTGGGGATGCAAGGCATAGCTCAGGAAAGAGAGTGTGGAGCCTCTGAGGGGGCCAGGGCAGCCAGTGTGTCCATCCCCAGTGGATCAAGAGTTCAAAGTTGGGCGGTGGTGGTGCACACCTTTAATCCCAGCACTCGGGAGGCAGAGGCAGGCGGATCT